TTTTCACTGAGGTTTTTTTTAAAAAAAAACAGACACAGTCATCTGGGAAAATTTCTCATGGAGGAGAAACACTTCTCGTCCATCTCTTTTTTCTGGGTTTTCCTTCATACCTTCCCCAACCTTTTAAATTAACTTACATTTGATTCAGCTACCTACCTTGGCTATACCTCAGGTCAAATCACACCCAAGCCCATCACCTCTCCTCTGGCTGCTGCAGATATGGCAGAGAGACTCTGATACAATTTTCAGGCTGTACAAAATACCTCAGTAGCCGAAAACCAGCCAATCAGCTATCCATACATTAATGTGGCATAAGGTAGTAACCAGGGAGCTGGCCTGGGAGCTCAGGCAGCAGGGCTGGTATTCCCAAATCCACAACTGGTCATAAATCCTACCTTATTCATTTCAATAAACTGTCTGAAATCTAAAGTTCATGTTTTAAATGTCTTCACAAACAACTGTTTCACTGCTCCTAATTTTAATAGAAATACCCCCAGCTTAGTCCCTGGTCATAAAGGGCCTAAAAGGGTCTTCCAGATCTGCCCATTTCTGCTGGAATCCCCCAGCTTTTCCCTGAGATGCCACAGACCATCAACACAATGAACTTGGACACAGCAAAACCGACAGTGCACACCACCAACTGCAAGCATCAAATGAAGGAAGGACCCCAGGACTGATTAATGTCAGAACTGCAGACAGAAAAGCAAAGAAGAACAGCAGAATGTTCAGGCTGAGAGAGTTGAGGTTGTTCAGCCTGGAGAAGAGAAGGCGCCAGGGAAACCTTATTGTGGCCTTTTAGAACTTAACGTGGAGAAGAGAAGGCGCCAGGGAGACCTTATTGTGGCCTTTTAGAACTTGAAGGTTTTAAGAAAGATGGGGACAAACATTTTAGGAGAGTCTGTTGTGATATGACAAGGGGTAATGGCTTTAAACTAAAAGAGGGAATACCTAGACTAGATGTAGCGAAGAAATCGTTTACAATGAGGGCGGTGAAACACTGGCCCAGGTTGCCCAGAGAGGTGGGAGATGCCCCAACCCTGGACACATTCCAGGTCAGACTGGACAGGGCTCTGAGCAACTTGGTTTAGTGGAAGATATCCCTGCTCGTGGCAGGAAGTTTGGAGATTACCTTTAAAGGTTTACTCCAACCCAAGGAACTCTGTGATTCTATATGGCCCTGGTCTCACCACGCAAGCTGCCCCATTGCCACCAGACATGTCAAGGGATGCCAACCCCTTGGCAAACTCACACCTGAGCATCCCAAGGTCTTCCTATGGGGCATGGGGCCACCAGGCCAAGAGATAAATCACTGACAAGCTGGCCATGGCTGTCCCAGGGGAGCAGGAGCAGCGCTCCCCCCCTGCAGAGCCTACTGACTTCTTGTTTCTCCACTTTTCTGAAGTTTTTAAATGTTATCTTAGGGCACAGAAAGGCTGAGAGACAGCAGCAGTGAAATCACAAAATCATCGAATGGTTTGGGTGGGAAGGGACCTCAAAGCCCACCCAGTGCCACCCCCTGCCCTGGGCAGGGAC